GAGTGGACAGCGCTCCTTGACCTCCCAGCACCCCCAAAAACCCACCCAGCCCCGCTCCTGCCTCGCATCTCAACCACCTGAACCAGCAAARGGAGAAGGCAGCGGGTCCCCAAGCGTCCCCCAAGCCCCATCTCCGTACCCCTGCGCCCACCATCGCCGTCTCCCTGATTGGGGTGCCCTCAGAGAAGGGTGGGAAGAGGAGAGACACCTACTAGACTGCAAGGTGCGCTCCCGGACCTCCGGGGTGAAGGCCCCCAGCCCCAGGGCCGAGCGGGCGGCCAGCCGGAACACATACTCAGTGTTGGGCTTCAGCCCTTCCACCGTGAACGACGTGGTGGGCTCGAAGTTCTTCAGCACCTATGGATGGGTGAAGAAAAAAAAAAAAGAAATATAAACCGGACCAAACCCTGCCCCAAGACCACTGAGCTGGGAAAAGTGGGGGTTGGAGGGCTCCTGAGCCCAAATTCTGCTCATCTCGGGGCTCACCTCCTTGCTGTGGTCTCCCTCCTTATAGAGGAGCTCGTATTTCACTATGATGTCCTGGCGTGGGGGGCTCCACGACAGCACAATGCTCGTCTCGGTCTTGGCTTCTGCCCGGAAATTCATGGGCTGCCCGGGAACTGGCAGGGAGAGGGGGCGAGATGAGAAATGGGAAAAAAACACGTTAGTTTGGCTAACTGGGAGGCCCTTTGACCGTTTTTTTTTTTTCCCAAGCCTGTGTGGGAAGAGCACGTCAGCAGCAAAATRCAGCGTGGGCAGGTCCTGCCTCTGAAACTGTGGAGCTCCATCCCACCCAGGACTGGCTGGAGAGGGATCCCAGTGGATCATATGGCTCCTTCTCTGATTTTTTAGCYTCTGTATTTTTGTGTATCTGTATTCTTGTGTATTTCTTTAGTGTGCAGCACTAAAGCTGCAGTTCTCCCATCTTTAGAGGAGAAAAAGAATGAGTTTCTACCCGTGAGAATGTGGCATYGGCAGAAGTAAGAAATTTAAACAACAGGAGGAGAAAAACAGCACCAAGGCTGCACCTGGTGTTTTTCTGAATGTTTGAATGCTTGTGCTGTGGGTGACCAACAGCGGTGTGCTGCTGTTAAATAACAGCAATGAATACATTATAATAAAGAATAATAAAAAAATAAAGATATAAGTATATAATGTATATATTATATATAACAAATATATAATAAATATATAATAAATATATAATAAATAATTATATTATATGAAATGTATATAATATATGAGATAATAAAATAATAAACATTAAAATAAAATAACAGCAATAAATAGATTATAATAAATAATAAAATATATAATTATAAATAAATAATAACTTAATAATGAGAAATAAAATAAAATAGCAGCAATAAATATATTATGATAAATAATAATATATATAATAATAATAATAAAAAGAAAATAATAATTATAATAAATAAAATACAATAACAACAATAAATATATTATAATAAATAATAATATATATAATAAAAATTAAATAATTAATAAATTAATAATAAAAATAAAATGAAATAACAGCAATAAATAAATAAATAAATGTAGCAGCTTAGCAGCAAACGAACCAGGCAGCCAGCTCACCTCCCTGCTGCGTCTTGACCTGGATGGGGTCGGACAGGGGCCCGTCCCCCACCGAGGTGAAGGCCAGCACTCGCACCGTGTAGGTCTCGTCCTCCAGCAGGCTGCCCACGGTGGTCAGCAGGCTGTCGTCCACGTTGTGCTTCTGCCAGTTGCTGACGGGCTGCTCGGGCTCCATGGTGTAGTAGACGCGGTAGCCGCGGATCTGCCCRTTGGGCTCCACCGGTTCYTCCCACTGGATGATCATGGTGCTGCTGCTCAGCATGCGGCCCTGCACGTTTCGGGGCGCGCTGGCGGGCGCCTGCTCCCCGGTTCGGGTCACCACCGACTCGCTGGGGGGACCCTGCCCGATGCTGTTGACCGCCGACACCCA